TGATGTGAGATATATTGATGTGAAGTTCATTGATGATGTATCTGGCACTTTTGTAGTTGCCCTTAAAGAAGGTAACCTTGATTCCTTTCTGTTCCTTTTCATTTCTATTTTTCTTCTTTTTTTTTTTCTTTAAATTTCTTGCGGAAAATACAATTTTCTAGTTGTGAAAGTTATTAACTCTGAACCACCATCACCATGCTGTTAGTAGTTAGTTATTAGTTTAATATCAACTACAAACTCAAATGCTTTGTGGCTTCTGCATATTTTTGGAAATAGCTTTTAGCCATCATGAATATATTTTGACATTGACTGGAATCTCAATTCTTTGCTGCTTCTGCAGATTTTCAGCAATGGCGGTTGTGGTGTCTCGCTCTGGGATTTTTTTTATGGCTATTGGCGCCAATTGTTAGCAAGTGGATCCCTTTTTACTACAGCAGTTCAATGGCTATTGGAATTTTCCTTGTCATAATAATCCTTCTCTTCCAGGTATTTGACTGTGGTCTGTTCTATATTTATTTAAGTATACCTCTGACTCTATTGGCTGAAGAAAAAGTTAATAATTTCAACACTTCAGTTTTGGCTGGCTTTTAAGGAAAAAGAGATGGAAGGGTTGTTATCTTGTTAGGTTGATTCAGAGCTTTCATATGATATGTACTTGTTTCCCACTTCATACTATTTCTTGTTGGTTGTTGTTGGTGGCTTCCTAGTGGAGGCTAATAAATTGACTTAATATCTATTACCTTTTTGGATATAGATTGCTTTGCTTCTTTTTTGGAAGCACATAAGTTATTTTGATTCTTTAATATATACAATAAGATTACCTGGTCCTAACAACATACTGAGTGCCAGTATTTTCATTAAGTCTTAACAGAATCTCATGGTGAATTGAATCTTTTGATGCAGGGAATGAAATTATTACCAGCAGGAAGGAAAAATGTATTCTATCTTACCATATATGGATCAGCAGTAAGTTTGCTACTTTGATCTTCTTTTGGCATTAACATTTGACTTTTTCTTCTCATTTATTATGTAATTGTAAGCTCACTGCTTCTTTTAACATTTCAGTTTGGAGTTGGATCCTACCTTGTGCATTACTTCTCCATGCTGGTCAATTCATCCCTTGTCAGTTTGGGGCTGAGCGAAGAGATGCAGAATCCAGTAAGTACTTAGAGTTCTTAGATTTTATGTTACTTTAACTAATGTTTCCTGCTTGGTTTGCTTGTTTAGATGCCTACCATCCTAGATTGACTGCCCTCTTTTTGTGACTAGTTGTATGTTTATCTTTTTCCCTAAAAAGTTTTCTATTCTTTCATCTACTTAATTTTAACTTATATTGTTTGTAATAGGGAAACTACCAGGAAATCAGTTTCTGTAGGCACTAGATTGGTTTTTTTTTTTTTTTACAACATAGTGGGTAAAATTGGTTTAGTTGTTGTTGAGAATGCAATAAAAAATTAAGGGCATTGGTAGACACATGGTGAAAAAGTGGGAACTGGGATTTGAGCCTTTTGTTTCAGACCATAAATCAGTAGGGAATTGGAAATGAACTAGAGAGTGTGGTTTTACTAAGTTTAATTGGTCCTTTCTTCGTCCTTTTTTGTTGGTAGTGGAGTTAAATTTTTTAAAACATGCTTCATTCCTCTAATTGAAAACTAATTGAAAAGTTTAGGTTCATGTGGCATGATGCATATTCAACAACAGCTTGTTTATATTGATATTTGTAGCAACCTTACTTTTCAAGTTAACCACATTATTATTATTTTTTTAATTCTTTCATTTTCAGGTTGCTGTATTTCTATTAGTTGGAATTATCCTTTCAGGAGCTGCTTTGGGGTACTGGATAGTAAGAAAATTTGTCATCTCAAAGAATGGAACTGTTGACGTTGGTATTGCCAACTTTGTAAAATGGGCAATGCGCATTATTGCAAGTGCTTTAATTTTCCAGGTATGGTATTATAACTGATGCCAACTCTGTTAAATGGAGGAAAAAAATTTTTATTTAAGAAATTTACTGCGCTTCAATTTGGTTTTTATTGGGTATTTTAAAATTGGAGGTTGCTTGAGAAATATATGATAGGATGGGAGTGGTGTCTTGAATCCTTTGTGAAAAAAGAGTAAATGAACACTCTCCTCTGGTTGGGCACTTGTTCATGTTGTTCCCTGAGTTTGGATTAGTGAATTTGAGACTTAAAATTTGTGTGAACCTGGCCTTGATTTGAGGTCTATGCCATAAGATGTCCCAAGTTTTAGATTTCAAGTGTGTTTGTTTGCATTCTACATAGACTCTAAGCAATGCCATCTTTAGCAGCATTCATTATGTAAACTGATACTAAGTACTTTATACTGAAAAATGGTAATCTCTCGAATGGGGAATAGGTTGAGTTTTGTACTGTTATAGTGTTACCAATCTTAACCTGTCAGTCCTTTCATACTGAAGTTATTAGCAAACACAATTGTGCTTATGTAGTACGCTTGCAAAGTGGGTTTGAGGGTTTTGAAATTATTATGGATCTGTATTGGGGTATCTTATATTTCAAATTCCCTTCATCCTTATGTCTTCTCTCTTTTTACTCCTTCCAGAGTACTCTTGATACTCTTATGGCAATCGCAGCATTGGCTTCTTGTGGTGCTATCTGTTCACTAATTCCTTCAAGAAAGCAGCATCGTCATCTGTAAGTTGAATAGTTCTTCCGTTTCTACTCTTGTGATGTTAAGTGTGGTCTGCTAGAACCTGTGCTTTGTAAATATTTGTGGTGGCAGCCCCTGGATTGGTTCATGTTTGTGAACCAACTAGCAATCGCACCCCCCTGGATTTTATCCTTAAATTCTCCCCTCTCAGACACCTATTAATGAGTTGTATTTTAGTAGTACAAATTCTGAACCTAGTTTGAATAAATACAACTTGAAGTTAAATTCATGGATGGAAGATGGTATGTGGCTACGTATGGAAGTTTCTTTAGCAGTTGATGGTGGAAGGTGGCTATAACCTAATTTCAAACAAATCAACTTGACTTGAAGTTAAATGGGTGGATGAATGGTGGGTGTATTATGATTTTGTTGCAGTTGGAGGTATAACATTATGTAATAGTTATAACTAAAGACTTTACTATAAGAGAAGGAACTGCTGTTAGCTAAGGCATCTTGTGATGCCTGGCTGTTAGCGGTTTTGATTCAACGGTTTCCCATGCTTTTTACTTACATTTATGTATTTGTGTTTGAATTTAGCTCTCTGGTATAAAAGCTGAACTTTGTTTCTGCAGGGATCAATTCAGGCGGGCTATTGTAAAGCATGGCCGTGCTGAGTTTCTTAGTAGGTCTCCAAGAACCTATCCTAAAGAGAAGTTGTGGAATAGTCCAATTAGTCCGCCGGCATGGCCAAACTCTCCTGTTAGAGGTATCATATCATTCTGTCTTGCAGTGCCTTCTGCTCTGAAGTTGATTGTACAGTAGCTCATCGATTTTATTTGGTTCTGTTTGGCTGTCCTATCACAGGTGTACTTTCATCCTCTACCAGTTCAGGGACAAGAAACCAGGATTACTACTCAACTTTCCACAAGAAACGTAATCGGAAGAAGTTTACAAAGCAAGAGTGGGAAGATTTCACTCGAGAATCAACCCGAAAAGCTATGGCAGAACTAGCAGCAACTCCAGCATTCATTGACTGGGTCATTGAGCGTGCAGACCGTATAAAGCTCATTTCAAATGACAGTACAGATGAATCAATTGGGAGCAAATCGAGTTCTATAGACGAAGAAGCTGAAGAGAGCAGCAGTCAGTTTAGATTCTTTAGTTGGAAACCATGAAGTTGAAGATAGCATTAACCCGGGAATTACGCAGGAAGATGTTAAATTAGCATCAAATTTAGGAAATTTAGCAGCCATTTGCCAAGTGCAATCTCTGTGAGCATTTAGCAGCCACTTGACATTTTCCAAAAAATTAACTAACCATGTAATGCATACGGTGAGACTGTTTACCATTTGATGTAACTTGAGTAATGTACAGACGAAGCTAGGAGAACTTCAGGTATGGAATTGGTTTTTTTTGTAGTAGATGCAGATTCGATTCGTAATACCTTTTGTTACAATATTTTATGGGGCCGCACCTATGTATCTTTGAGCATTAAACATTCAAGAAAGAATTGGGAGAAACTAAGTTTGACGTTCATGGAGTTACAGTGGACCATAATTATCATTGAGCAAAGTTCTATAACAAATGAAAGTGATACATTTACAATGTCTTGTGGTATTGGCATGTGATTATATAATTATTATTTTTTATTTTTTTATATTTAATAATGAATTATATAAGGGAATAATATTTTGTTTTTCAAAATTTTTTTTTATTTAATTCAGGATTTGAATTTAAAAATTTTAATTTAAAAATTCAATTTTTTAACTAGTTGAACTATCCTTATGAAAGCAATATTTTTCTTATTTGGAAGTCAATATATGACATTGTATACAATCAATTTTTTTTTTTTTTTTGTAAATTATACAATTCACTCGTTTTATTACTGTTTATAAATATATATTTATAATCGTTGTAACATTCTAAGTGTATAATTCTCGTTGCAAGCATATCATTATCGAAAAAACAATATTTAACATCATTAATTAAGGCTTCATTTAGTATGATTTTGATTATTGGTTTTTAGTTTTA